TGGGATTATAGGCGCCTGCCACTGTGCCCGGCTAATTTTTGTATTTTTAGTAGAGACGGGTTTTCACCATCTTGGCCAGGCTTGTCTTGAACTCCTGACCTCGTGATCTACCTGTCTCAGCTTCCCAAAGGGCTAGGATTACAGATGTGAGCCACTGTGCCCGGCCAACACTAACGTTTAAATCAGTGGACTTTTAAGTGCAGCAGCGGCCCCCCTTATCCATGTGGGATATGTTCCAAGACTCCTAGCAGATTCCTAAACCCACATAGTCCCGAGCCCTATACACATGTTTTTCTCAATCTGACAACAGTGCCTGCTACTAAGTGATTAACAGCGTATATAGTGTGGGTACCCTGGAGAAAGGATCGATTCTCATCCCAGAACATGAATTCATGTCCAGGATGGAGTGGGCCAGCATGAGATTTCATCATGCTACTCAGGATGGTATGCAATTTAAAGCTTATAAATTATTTCTGGAATTTTCCACTTAATATTTTCAGACTGTGAGTAAATGAAACCAGGGAAAATGAAAACATGGATACGGGGGGACCTATTGTATTGCAAATTCCTCTCCGTAGTGTAGGTGGGCCTCATCGAATCAGTTAAAGCCTAAAAAAAAAAAAAAAAAAGGCTGGCATCCTATCCCTTTCTCCCTAGTGAGGAATTCTGACAGCAGACAGTTTTTATTTTCCTATTTTTTTTAGAGACAAGGTCTCATGCCATTGCTCAGGCTGGTCTTGAACTCCTGGGCTCAAGTGATCCTGCAGCCTTGGCCTTCCAAGAAGTTGGGAGTACAGGTGTGTGCCACAGTGCCTGGCTAGCAGATACCCTTTGAACTGCAACTCTTCCTGCATCTCTTGCCTGCTGGTCTACTCTGAAGACTGATCATGTGAGCCAATCTTTTAAAATAAAAATCTCTCTTCCCACATACATACACATATACATCTAGATATGTGCACACACATCCTGTTGATTCTGTTCTCTGAGAACTGTGATTAACACTGGCACCATTTATCAAAACTGCTCATACTGGACCAGGCGCAGTGGCTCACGCCTGTAATCCCAGCACTTTGGGAGTCCGAGGCAGGTGGATCACCTGAGATCAGGAGTTCGAGACCAGCCTGGCCAACACTGTGAAACCC